TCTATCTATCTATCTATCTATCTATCTATCTATCTATCTATCTATCTATCTATCTATCTATCTATCTATTTTTTATGAGCCGTTGTGATCCATCTGACCTGAAGTAACCCCGTATTCTATTCAGTGTCTACTCTTTGTTGCTCTTCCCCTATAAAGTCCGGCTTTTATTGAGACAGAGTCAACATCTGTCGGACAGCGTTTCCAAACATCTCCTATTTCACTTTTAGCCCCTGCTCCTCGTCTTTATTCTGTCTCGCTTGTATCCCCCCGTAACCTCTCCTCCAGTCAGCCCGGCCTGGATGAACACTGACTTAGTTCCTTTCCCTCCCATCCCAACCTTTCCCCTATTGTTCCTCTGTCGTTTCCCAAGACCTTCTGGAAAAAGAATGATGCCTAGAGCCGTCGGTCGGTGGGGAGGCCTTAGGTGTTGCTGGGACCACGCTGCGCTTCATGTATTTGGGCTGAAAATAATATGTGTGGTAGCACAGTAGGTAAGGAGAACTCAAGCCTAAATAAACAGCACTCCTCTCCAGAGCTGTAGATGAGAAGAGGAGGAAAAAGAAGAAGAAGAAAAGGTTAATGGAGTTGAAAAGGGAAAAGATAAGAAGGGAAAAGGGAGTGGGAGTGTTAGAGGATTTAGCATTTCCTCCCCTAATTGCTGAGTCCACAGAATTCTGTTGCAAAGATGAGACGCGTGCATGTCACGCGGTGCCGTGTAGATGACCGAAAAAAACAGGTGTCAAGGTTTTTAACTGAAAAATCAAATTGATGAGACTGCTGTTTTAACTGGGTAATTCATTTTCTGTGCTCTGCTTTGAGATAAAGTGGGTTTAAACCTTCACCTGAGAGCAAATGTGATGACCCGGCCAATAATGTGACTGTTAAATCTATTTCCAGGTTAAAAGTGAAGGTCCTAAACTGGTGCCATTCTTCAAGGCGACCTGTGTGTACTTTGTGTTGTGGCTGCCTACCTCAAGCCCGTCCTGGTTCAGCGCCCTTATCAAATGCCTGCCCATCTTCTGCTTGTGGGTCTTTCTGCTGGCTCATGGCTTCAGCTTCCTCGGTGCTCGCTCCAGCGCACGCAAGATCTTGGCCGGCCTTATCTTTTCAGCTCTGGGTGATGCCTTCCTCATCTGGCAGGAACAGGGCTACTTCGTCCACGGTGAGGAGAAACAAACGGCTTTCCTGTTACATACTTCTTTCAGCATTGTTTGACATTTCAGACATGGCAGAATGACTTTAAGTCATGCACTCTGGCTCAATTTGTGTAGTTTGAATTAACTTTGCAATTGGTGACTTTGCGTATTTGTATCTAGATCACGTAGGAAATATAAATGATAAATTTTGAAAGACACCTTCCAGATAAGACATCTGTGCAAGACAAAATGTGAACCAGGACGAGATCTTTAATCTCAAATTAAGTTTGAGACATTAGATATGGTCATGTACTAGATTACAGAGAAGTAATGCAAAAGTCTATGGTTCACAAACACGATTCAGCAGATCAAAAATCATTCTTTCATCTTGGGCACAGAAACATCAAACAGGCTGATACATTTTCGATGATAAGTCCTGGGGACAGGTCATGCGAACATGGAACCTTTTGGCCAAATCAGCCCTGTAGGTCAGTGGTTAAAAGGGTGTTAATGAAACTCCTGCTGTTAAGCGCAAAGCGGATCAATCATGCCTGAGATCTGAATTTTAGCCAGCAACACTTACACGCTCTATTTGCAAAGGGTAGACTGAAATTACACCCAAAAAATTCACTCTTAAAACGATGAGGTCAGACATAGGATAGCAATATAATAGTAGTAAAAGAAAATTACAACCAGTAGCCACGATTCTTTGGGTTACACCTGCCAAAGTGAGATTTTATAATTCCTAAAGCTTATCGACCTCCAGAAGAGGTGTTAAAATAGATGTTAGATGAATGCTGCTAAAATATAAAAGATAGATTTGATGTTTTCGTGCCACAACATTGACATTTCATTGACATCCTACAGGCCTTCTGATGTTTGCCATTACCCACATCCTTTACTCATCCGCCTTCGGCATGAAGCCCCTCAATGTCCGTGCTGGCCTGGTCATCACCGCTGTGTCCTCCCTGAGTTACCTCTTGCTCTACCCCTACCTGTCCGGCCCCTTCACCTACCTGGTGGCCGTCTACATCGCTCTGATCGGCTTCATGGGTTGGAGGGCCATCGCCGGCCTGCAGCTGGCCAACGACCTGTGGACCTGGACCAAGCTGTCGGCCTGCCTGGGCGCCGTGCTCTTCATGGTCTCCGACCTCACCATCGCCGTCAACAAGTTCTGCTTCCCCGTGCCGCACTCGCGCGCCATCATCATGGCCACCTACTACGCCGCGCAGATGCTCATAGCGCTGTCCGCCGTCGAGTGCCAGGACGCCGAGGTGTCCCGGAAGAGGATATGAGGTAAACCGGTCTCCAGCGCGCGAGATGTCGGGGAGGTGGCTCCGGCTCCGGCCCTGTGTGACCACGGACACGTCCCACTGCCAGATCTCCAAGCCCCGGCCTTCATCTGGGTGTGGCGATGCCCGCAGCATCGTTACCACGGCAATTCATCCACAACGCCATCCTGCTATCCCCCTAGTATGATAGATTTGCGCATATCTTCTTGTGAAGAAGGTGCTGTAGTATTATCTCCAGCCTCTCCTGAGAGCAGCCATGCCAGCTCCTGAAACCCAGAGAGTCTGCTGTCTCTCGCTGTTACCATAGAGACCAGTGTAGACATATTAACCTGCTTCAGAAAAGTATTCTTTTACTTTGAACTCTTTGGATTTAAGGGGAGCATGTCACCGTGCACATTCACAGTGTGCACAGAACAGTGTGTGTGTGTGCATTTGTGCGATTAACACTCTTACCTTGCCAGCCCCCCCCCCCCCCCCCCCCCCCCCCCCCCCCCCCCCCCCC